ATTCAACTTATTGTAAAATGGCCACCGTAACGAATAAAAAAGCTGACGTTTCGAGCGTTAGCCCTTCGTCTGACGAAGGGCTAACGCTCGAAACGTCAGCTTTTTTATTCGTTACGGTGGCCATTTTACAATTTCAACTTAGTTGATATAACCAATTTTCTCGAATTGTTTCATGTTTTATATTTTCTCCATGGGCGACTTGACATATGCTTCAGTACATTATATATCACCAATGTTTTGGAAAGAGGAAATAATATTTTTTGTGGATGTCGTTGCAAGGGTCGCAGAAAGTGATCAAACAGAATCGTTTTTCATAAAAGCACCTTTATTGCAACTCAGTTTTTACCTTTACAGTATTTGCCAGGAGGGATGCAGTTCTCTTGGGAAATTGGTGAGAGTAACAGAGGCAAGGACCAATACGGAAACATTGTTTTATGTAAGTACAATTCATGAACTTTGTAAGTGTTTTTAAGCAACGGTAATTACATAAAACCAAGGAATTTAGATATCTTGAAGTCAGCTTCTAGAGCATAGAACGTAACAGGCGTTGCCTCTTTCAGTCGTCTATTCATCTTTCAAGGGAAGTAACTCACTTTTGTCGAAGTAATTTAAAATTTCATTGCTGATAAATCGCAGAACTGCACTGGAATGAACAATCACTTCAAATTTAATCATTTACTATGTGAAGAGCTTAAATCAAGAGAGATTGTTATATCTAATTGAGAAATTTCACCACACCCTACACCGTACGTTCAAAGCACAATGATTCACAAGGTTTTCTTTGTATTTCACACTATTAAAAAAACCGTGGAACTGAATGACCAATTGTTTTTGTTAACAGATGATCATTCTCGCCTCTTATTGGAGGAAATGGAGGGTGATAAAAACTTCAGTTACATCAATGCAAGCTACATTCCGGTCAGTGACAAAAAAACCACGTCGAGGTCGACACAACGACGCAATGCGACAAGACAAAATAAAACTGTAGAATGACGTCGACACGACTTGTTTGATATAATGGATAGATAAATTGATGAACAATGAAACAGACAGACAAAAAAATGATTTTTACCTCTAAGGTATCTACAAAAATTTAACTTGAATCTTTTATCTCTCCGTTCTCTTCCTTTTTGAAGTTTAAATTTAGTATCGCAGAGGTCAGTGGTTCGAATCCCGTACAGGCCTGAATTTTTTTCAGGTCTGATTTTCACTATTGCTTAAATAGTGCTTTACTGCGAAGGATCGTGCACATATATATTTTCTTTTTGTCACGGTAAACTACTTGCAAACAGTGACTACGTATTTTGGGCCAAGGAAGCTCTTACTATAAGAATATCCTCAACATACATACAAATTTTCACCTAGGACGCAGAAAAAAGGAATGTGCAGCAGTTTCATTACGTCACTTGGCCAGACAAAGGTGACTTGAATTTAGGCAAAAGATTCATGCCAGGCACTTGGCTACTGGTGACATGAGAGTTTTGTAGCAGAAGGTCAATGGAAATCTTTCAC